GAATACTACCACTGTTATTAACATATGTTAAAAAATTTCATTTTTAGTCCTGCAGGACAATATCTTCCTTTGAATACACTCAGGAAATAACAAACTGATAGAACTTTTATAATGTGCATCCTTCAATATCTTAATAGGGTGTGGTGAGCAGAAGACTATTCCAAATGAATTCAAATTTAATGGCATTTTGGCAAACAATTATGTCACCTCAAAAAAGCAAACTTTAAAGTCAACTGAAGTGCAGCTATCCCTGAGGGAACTTAGCTGCCTCCTAACGTGCACCTATCAGTTCTGACAAAGGCAATCTAAAGGCACCAAGAACACGAACTAAAAACCTAGAAGGGTTCTATTAAATAAGATGAAACTATTTCTATCAGAATAAAAAGATTTAATGTAATTGGTGGAAGACCCAGAGGTGAAGTGAGAATTATTTTTTAACGCAATGAGTTATGATATAGAATGCACTGCCTCAGTTTAGTAGAAGGTTCAGTTGTAAAGGAACTTTGTACTTGAAGGGAATAAACACAGCTAATAGGATGGAATGGAGGAGTTGTTTTCCAGTTTAGGACGCAAGAAGCAAAGCATCAGGAAATTTCTCCTCAATCAAAAAAAAGATGCAACACAGAAGACTGCCAATTGGTGCAGTGTGTCTATGCAGGCTCCCACAAATAATTATCTATTTAGTACCAATGGCATGGGTCAAATAGCTTCTTCCTGTGTTGTGTCATTCTTTGATTCTACAGCAAAGAAATCCTGAGTCCCTACTTGTGCTGAAATGCCAAAATGAAGATCAAAATTATTATAACCTCCAATGTAAAACGTCAGACGCGTGAGGTCATCAAATGGTTTCAGATGCTGGATGTTTCATACAACAGTTATTATGCAGCCCTGAGAATCCAGCACCTACAAAAATCCAAGTTAATATTAAATTAGAATCCCCCTCGTCCTCACGTACCACCCCACCAACCTCCGGATCCAACGCATCATCCTCCGACACTTGCGCCATCTGCAATCCGACCCCACCACCAAAGACATCTTTCCCTCCCTACCCTTATCTGCTTTCCAGAGTGACCACTCTCTCCGTGACTCCCTTGTCCGCTCCACACTACCCTCCAGCCCCACCACACCCGGCACTTTTCCCTGCAACCGCAGGAAGTGCTACACCTGCCCCCATACCTCCTCCCTCACCCCCACCCCAGGCCCCAAGAAGACTTTCCACATCAAGCAGATGTTCACCTGCACATCTGCCAATGTGGTATACTGCATCCACTGTACCCGGTGTGCCTTCCTCTACATCGGGGAAACCAAGCGGAGGCTCGGGGACCGCTTTGCCGAACACCTACGCTCGGTTCGCAATAAACAACTGCACCTCCCAGTCGCGAACCATTTCAACTCCCCCTCCCATTCCTCAGACGACATGTCCATCCTGGGCCTCCTACAGTGCCACAACGATGCCACCCGAAGGTTGCAGGAACAACAACTCATATTCCGCTTGGGAACCCTGCAGCCCAATGGTATCAATGTAGATTTCACAAGCTTCAAAATCTCCCCTCCCCCTACCGCATCCCAAAACCAGTCCAGCTCGACCCCGCCTCCCTAACCTGTTCTTCCTCCCACCTATCCCCTCCTCCCACCTCAAGCCACACCCCCATCTCCTACCGACTAACCTCATCCCGCCCCCTTGACCTGTCCGTCCTCCCTGGACTGACCTACCCCCTCCCTAACGCCCCACCTACACTCACCTTTACTGGCTCCATCCCCACCTCTTTGACCGGTCTGTCTCCTCTCCACCTATCTTCTCCTCTATCCATCTTCTATCCGCCTCCCACTCTCTCCCTATTTATTTCAGAACCCCCTTCCCCTCCCCCTTTTCTGATGAAGGGTCTCGGCCCGAAACGTCAGCCTTTCTGCTCCTATGATGCTGCTTGGCCTGCTGTGTTCATCTAGCCCTGCACCTTGTTGTCTCGGATTCTCCAGCATCTGCAGTTCCTACTATCTCTAATATTAAATTGTATTTGTGCAAAATTTCACCTGTAAAGATTGCATCTTTTTATTGCTCTGTATTTTTGATTGTGGACTGAATTGGGAAAAGGTCTGTTTCATAACAAAGAAATAAGTTACTGAAACACTGCATTACTTTGCTGATTTGTTTAAACAGTAGGGGAGCAATATTTGTAAGTGGTCTGCCTCCAGAGGTGCATGTACAGAGTAAGATTCGGTCAACAATAAAATTACTGACTCGTTTGCGGATTTGCAACTAATTGCAGATGCGAACGGTCATCAGCTTGACAACAACTCTGGGTTCCTGCATAGTTGAACAACTTATGGGTATCAATGACACTGGCAAATGCCTTCAGACTGCTAAAGGGCAGATGGGTATCCCTCTCTCTCGTAAAATATCCAAAGTCTGAAGAAAGCCAGATTATTTCCATCTATTTGCTGTAAGCTGTTGCTTTTAAATGAATAAGTCAGACACTTTATAATTCATGATCCAGTCACTCTGTGCCTCCTGAGAAGTACTGCGAGAACCTGAAAGACTTGGAAAACAAAAGGAAAAATCCATCAAATCCGGAGCATTGGTGTTATTGAACTAGTACCTTGGTAGGTTTTGTTCCCCCCTCCATGTTTACCAATTATTTTTGGGGTGTATGTATACAGAAGGAGTTTTATAAGGATTTATAACCAGCTGTGTTAAACATTGACAGTTCAGTTTTTTACTTGTAATCTGAATTTAGTTATTTATTTGTAAGAAAGAGTTATAGAGTCAGTCATTCAGCACAGAAGCAGCCCCTTTGGCCCAACCTATCCATGCTGACCAGGTTTCCTAAACTGAACTAGTCCTATTTGCCTCTAAACTTTCCTATCCGCCTCTAAACTTTCCTATCCATGTAGTTGTCCAAATGTCTTTTAAATGTTGTAATTTTACCACCTCTATCACTTCCTCTGGCAGTTGTCGATATATGCACCACTCTGGAAAAAGTTGCCCTTCAGGTCCCTTTTAAATCTTTCCCCTCTCACCGTAAACCTGTCCTTTAATTTTGGATTCCCTACTCTGGGAAAAAGACCTTGGCTATTCACCTTATCTGGGCCTCTCGATTTTATAAGCCTTTGTAAGGTCACCCCTCAGCCTCCAATACTCCAGGAAAAAAGTCCCAGCCTAACCAGCTTCTCATTGTGCCTTCTAGATGTGGACAGGCTTTGGCAAGTAAGGAGGTGAGTTACTCATCACAGCATTCCTAGCTTCTGACCTGCTTTTGTAGCTACTGTGTTTATGTGATGAGTCCAGTTGAATTGCTGGTCAATGGTAACCCAAGTATGTTGACAGTAGGGAATTCAGTGATAGTAACACTCTCGAATGTCAAAGGGCAATGATTAGATTGTCTCTTATGTTTCCTCTGCAAGGACATGTAGTTTTTAATGAGTCCAAATGGACTGAACACTAGAAAAGACACACAAGGAACATCTGTCATCTTTTGCCAAACTAGTACGATACAGTGGAACTTAACATCAGTCATTCTTGTTAAGTACTGAACACAGGTCCATATTTTCTGTTAATCTGAATCCAGAGGTAAGTTGAGGATTTTGTGCACTTGATAAAATTTTTAAACCGGTGACGATTCAAGGATTAGCCAAGAAACAGGAAACTTGTGCTGTCTTCCCAGAAAACCTGTGCAGAGACTTGAACAGAGTAATCTTCAGCAAAATATTGTGAGGTTTAATGTACTGCTTCAAAATTTGGAATAACAGGGTCAACCACAATAACATGCACTAGACCGGAACTTGTGGATAACAACCTGCAGTTGTATGATAGTGTTAATACAGTCAACCATCTGAAGGTGCTCCATTGAGGCATCTTACAACACAATTTGACAGAGTTGCATAGAGGTATGAGGACTGGATGAACTTAGTAATATAGGCAAACTTAGGGTCATTTTAATAAAAGAGAGGTTAAGAGAGGAAAAGGTTTTAAAGATTTTGGGTCTTTGATCGCTGAAAATAATCACCAATGACACAGCAATGGAAATCATGACATGCACATGCCAGGAATAGAGAAGTGAACGGGTCTGAGGATTGTAGAGCTGGCGAAAAATCAGAGAGGATCAAGGTGTTAGAGAGATTTAAAACAAGGGTGAGTATTTAAGCATCCTTTACAAGCAGATTCCATCTCAGAGTGCATTATGCTAAGGGCAAAAAGTACATTGAAGTACACAAGAGAGAGGGGAACTAAACTGGAAAGGAGATGATTGAGTAGGGAACTAAGAGGGATGGTCAAAGAAGATTTTGATGAATATTTTCTTTATTAAAAATAAAAAAGGAAACCAGAAAAAAAAACACCACAGCTACAGGATAGTAGAAACAACAGCTAGCAGTGGAGCGAGGGGGGGGGGCAGGCGTGAAGTTGAGATCGAATGCAAATTTCCAAACTATCATGCTAGCAAAAAGGGAGAAGGTAGGTTAATTGAATTAGGGTAATCAGGTGCAAGTGGCTTCTCAATGTGTGGTATCTTGAAGTTGAAGGAGGATTGATAAAGGAATTGTTAAGTGCACAGAAATAGTCAAACCATGAAAGTGAATGAAGTATGGACTTTAATTTCAGTGGTTGAGGGAAGAATAGGGTGCAGGTCAGCAATGTTCTGAAGATGGAAGAAAGCTCTTTTAGTAACAGAATACGAGAGTTCAGGGCCATTAGGACACCAGGGCTCTGCATTTCTAATCCAATTTGCGTTAGCCAGCGAGGCTGGTGCAGTCAAGGGAAAAAGATGTTACCAGGAAGAGACGATGTTTGGCCACATATAGCTCTAGATCTTACTCCACTTCCATTTGCCAGCCTGGGTCAGAGGAGGCAGAAGGTAGAGTTTCAGAGATAGTAGGAACTGCAGATGCTGGAGAATCTGAGATAACAAGGTGTAGAGCTGGATGAACACAGCAGGCCAAGCAGCATCAGAGGAGCAGGAAAGCTGACGTTTCGCGCCTAGACCCTTCTTCAGAGTTTGGTACCTTCAGCAGTCAGAAGGCCAAATCCAGAAATTTAGGACAAAAACAAATTGCTGGAAAAGCTCAAGTCTGGCAGCATCTGTGGAGAGAAATCAGAGTGAACGATTTGGGTCCAGGCGACCCTTCTTCAGAACACTTCGGATTTTTGTCAAGTAAGGTCAATTGCTGTAGTCATATTGGAACAGAAAAAGTTTCTTGCGTATCAAATGAGATAAATACTTTTTTTGTGGGGGGGTGGGAGGAAGGAGATGGGAAATGGGAGGAGGAAGGTGGGAAAAATAGGCAAATGTTTCAAACAAGAAACTTGATTTTGTTTCTATTCTTCAGAAAAAGATATTGCAATTAGTGAATTTGGCAGAAAACTGGGAGGCAACGAGAATAATTATACAAATTAACATTAACCAAAAGTAGGTATTCAAGCCTAAATAAAAATAAGGCCAACAGCAGTCAAGCAGGACCTACAGACGTGAAGTTGTTGTTCAGCGAAGCAGCAACACGATGGGATTGCAGTAGTACAAGAACTAAGATAGAAACAAGATAGTCACGAAAAATACCTTTCTACATGACAAAACCCAAAGTGTACAGATCAGTTATAGAACATTGGGGGACAGGTTTGAAGAAAGCATTTAAGCAGCAGAAATTGACAAGAGAGGCACAACAGGGAGATTTAAGTTGACATCTAAAAGGCAGCAAAGGAAACTGCTAGATAAATATGTTTGAAGCTGAAATGGTTCATGCTAAAGATCAAGGGTGTGGCTATGACTACACTTGATGTTCCTGGTCTTGCTGCTCACAAAACAAAATCATACTGCAGAATAGATGGGAGAGTTCAAGGGAAAATTAAAATCACTGAGAATCAGTAATTGCATAGCGAAAGGGTGGAGTTAGTAAGTAAAACTGGGGGAGGGGGGTGGCAGGAAAGGAAGCTCTTGAAGTAAAATTATTCTGCTTCAAAACATTCCCAACTATCTGTATGTGGCTGAAAACAAGTAGGCAGTTTGATTACTTTGAAAATAGACAAAAATTCTGAATGACTTGAATAGCATACTTTTATGGTTATACAAGGACCTATACCCAAATTAATTACTTCAAACACCTGAAAAACAGTCACAACTCCAATTAAAACCAAATGCAACAGAATAGAGTTCTGATTCATTGTAAAAACAATTAAATTCCAAGAAAAGAGGTTAATTGGTCAAAAATTTGTCAGAAATAAACAATGCAATAGGAAATCAAGAAACCTAAACAACTTAGTGTATCACAGTCAAATTTTCTAATTTTAAGCCTACCCTTGCAGTTCATCCAGTCTTCCCCACATACACTATACTAAAAATATATACACAACTGTACTCTTCTACAAACACAGTGCCTAGACTATATTCTTGCATTCATGAGCACTAAAAGTTTTTAAGAACTAGGACAATTCCCAATAAAACTCCTCCAGCACAATAAATACATGGACAAATAAGTTCCTTATTAGGAATTCTTAACCAGTTCCAATTTGAGTTAGAATAGTTAACTACAGATTCCAACTTCAGCAGTGCTTGTAGTAGTTTCCATACAGGAGCAGGAGCATAAGCAGCTGACTCCACAGAGTGACAGGAAAATAAGGGCAAGGGCATGTCCAGCTGTCCTTAGAGAGACAGAGATATCCATAGCTGTCTCCATAGACAGGCTAATAAGGGGCAGAGATCCTGTAGCTGTACCCAGAGGGGTAATACAGCAAAGGCAGGAGAGACTACAGCTGCGATCAGAGGGACACAGTGGCAGGAGAAGCCACAACTGTATCCAAGGTGCTGTGGGTGCGTGGATGGATGGAAAGAAGGGAGAAGAGAGGTGACAAGGACAGGAGAGGCTACTACTTCTTCCGTACAGGATGACAGTGGAGTTGTCCTCACAGGGACAGGGTGGCAGGGGCAGGGACGCCTGCAGTTGCCCCCATAAGGATACGGATTCCCACAACAGTCCCAGCCGAGTGGCATTCTTTTGCCTTACCTCCTTTGCAGGGCATCCGGTGCTGACTGTGCTGGGCTCGGTAGCCCTCGATAACCTCCCACTCGCCGTTATCCCTCTTGATGGGGAAGGACACGGACAGGACGTGGTTGCAGGGCTTGATAATCTTCAGGATGCCCCGCACCCGGTTGTGCTTCTGCTCGTCCGACTCGCGGGTCCGCAGGTCCTCCACCAGCTTGTCCTCCACGATCTTCGCCCCGCGGTCGAAAAATCCCTCCACCATGTTGAAGAAGTTAGGGTCATCTTGCTGCTGGGCGGCCGAGGGCTCGGTCGAGTAACGCCGGCAGTGGAGCAGCACAGCCGGCCCGCTGAGGCGCTGCAAACCGCCCTCAGCAGCGCACGGCGAGGCAGCGGCCGCCCCGCGAGCCACGAGCTCCCCTAGATACCGGTACATGACGAGCGACAGAGGGAGACGAGAGTGTAGGGAGGGGTTTGGACGGATACCGTGCTGAAGCGAGACGCCGGAGAACAGTGACAGCACGGAGAATTTTTTTTTTCCCTCCCCACAACCTGGTAGACAACTTCCGCTCGTTCACTGAATGCCCGAGGCCAGGCTTAATGACAAACAGCAGTCAAACCTACTGCTGCGCATGCGCTAGCCTGTCAAGCGGCAGCACGACCACGCTTGCGCCCAGGGTCAAGGAAGGGGCGGGGTGCGGAAAGGGGGCGTGGCATTATCCTAAAGCGCTCGCCTGTCCGTTGGAAGAAAGGAGATAGTAGGAACTGCAGATGCTGGAGAATCCGAGACAACAAGGTGCAGGGCTGGATGAACACAGCAGGCCAAGCAGCATCATAGGAGCAGAGAGGCTGACGTTTCGGGCCTAGACCCTTCATCAGAAAGGGGGAGGGGAAGGGGGTTTTGAAATAAATAGGGAGAGAGTGGGAGGCGGATAGAAGAGGGATAGAGGAGAGGA